GAAGATTTCCTAGAAACCCACTAGCAGATTCCTTCATCACTCATTGGACACAAGGATATTATATCCATTTCTAAACACAATGTGAGCAAGCAAAGGAAATGGTAGTCACCTCAGTGATTACATCTGAGCAATATTTTCTTCCAAGCCTTATGTGGGAAAAGTAGAAATGAGCAAAGCAGCATTCTAACAGAAAGGGAGAAGAGTGGCTCTGGGGTGTGCAGAAGAATGCCTACTGCAACTGTTTTGTAAAGTGTACTGAGAAGATGGACCCAAATGTCAAAATGTAATAAGCTTTTATTTTAGTGTATCAACTAAAGACCATAGCACAGGTCTTTATAATTTAAGAATAAGCTGATTTTAGAAAAGAGGAGAAATAGTGTTAATGCATTTTTTGTGTGTCTTTTCAATAGAAAATAATTTTTCTAAAGTAAATAATGAAAGCTTTTACATGATTTATACTCTGTCCACATCAAAGATTTTAAAAAATTTTATCCAATATGAAATGATACTTTATTCTCACAGCTGTTGAAATTTTGTAGACCGGAAGGAAGATAGCTATTTTCTATATACAAAGATTTTAAAAAATTTTATCCAATATGAAATGATACTTTATTCTCACAGCTGTTGAAATTTTGTAGACCGGAAGGAAGATAGCTATTTTCTATATATCTATGGTAATACAGTGAAGATTTTTTTCAAGTGAGTATGTACTTAAAATTTGTAGTTGATTTTGGAGAGATTTCTTGAACTTGTATTTGAATATGGGTACAAGCTATTTGGGTCTTTACCTAGTACAGTATTCATTAAGGTTGTTCAAGAATATGCCATTTCCATTTAAACATGCATGGCAGGATTGAATTCTGTCTCCTTTTTTTTTTTTGACAAAGGAAAATATGAGCAGAAATGATGTGTTACTTCTTCGTTGAAGCTTTAGAAGACAGTATGCAATTCACCAAGTTCCCTCCCTCCTGCTGCTGGGATATAGCCTTCATTAGCCTGGGTCTCTGAATAACTAGTGAGTACAGCCCTTTGTCAAAAGTATAGAGTGAGCAAGAAACTTTCTCATTGTTTTAAGCTGCTGGGATTTGAGGATTATTTGTTACTGCAAATAATGGCCTACCCTCACTGAAATACTTGGATACTCCATATGATCTTGAAAAGGGTTACTTCTCTACATCTCTGAATCTTCAATTGTAGAATTTGTTGTCAACTTGATCTTCTGAGGACTCTTCCAATTTAAAATGAATTGGCTCTACAATTAAAAAAATGGGTACCACACAAAAGCATGACTTGTAAGGGAAGATCTCTTGTTAGCACTTCCCATGTGTAGACAGGGACCAGAATGATGGAAGTAATATAGATTTTGGCTTTTAAAGTGGTTTTTAGAGCTGCAGTTTTGCATAGCTACCTATTGGCATTACCACCATATCTTTCATTTTGATGGATCCCACTTACCATCGGACAGCTTTATGAAAATTAGAAAAATGAGTCCCTTCTTCCAGATGGACACAGCTTCATGCCAGAATGCAGTTGTTCCCTTGTCCAGTCACCTTTGTATATTGTACACTGGAAAACAGTACAGCTCTATGTAGCATTTCTGCACAAGGTCATCTCAAATTTGGATTTTTCAACTAAAATTCACCACCCCATCCAGTTTTCCCAGACCTGACAAAAGGCAGATATCACAATAATTGATATTGAATAATCAAATTTTAATGGGCTTTATACTCTTTAGAATAAGCTTTGTGTATTTTTTTTTTTTTGCTGGATTCCAAAACTTAGTACAGTGTCAGGTAATATTAGGCTTTCAACAGCTGTATTTAGATGGATGAAAATAGGATGAATACCAATTGAGTTCAGTAGCATTTCCTAGTATTTGAGGAGCCAGTCTAGAAAATTCTCTCCTGATGCCTAGTAACAGGAGATGATCAGTTAAATATCTACATACTGATAAATTTATCAGGCTTCATCTTTATGTTCTGAGAGATTTGATCAATGAAGTTCTGTCTGTAAACTGTAGTGTAAAATCTCCATTCATGCTCATGCTCTCATGCTAACTACCAAAACCAATTACACTTTCCTCAGACAGGGTGTATATTAAGTAGAAATTACTAGTATTTCACATTTTGAGCTAAAGATGGCCATTTTTGATGTTTCAATGGTCATAGGTTCCCTTCTCAGCTACTATACCACTCAGAGGTCCTTCTGTGTTTAGGAAGGCATAGATTTTCCCACCAGCAGAAATCGAGTAAGTGGGTTATATACACCCTGTGCAGCAGAATTGAAACTGTTTAACTTGAGTTTAACTTAATTATTATCACCAATTAAAGAACAAGATATTCTGAAATGCTGCCTTTTCCTAACAGTTGAGCTTTGGGGGACATTGCTGTCAGTTACAGTACAAACAATACTTTCTAATGTACAAAATAGGATGAGTTTACTGGCTTGCAGTGTTTGCCATTACTGGAATTAATATGAATTATTTGGGAAAAAATTGTCAGGATTTTAGAAAGGAAATTCTAAATATCTCCAATTTAACATAGAAAAGAACTT